ACAAGTCAGTCTCTGGTCCCGCCCCAGGCCCCGCCCCTCGCACGGGGCCACGCCCCCTGGGACACATCGGATCCGCGGGTGAACTGGGGAGGTACGCGTGTCAATTTCGCGACCAAACCCAGCGGAGGACCCTCAGCCTAGGGTCCACCCCCGGGACAAGTCACGCCCTTCCTGAAAACGAGCGGGCCTGCTGGGAGCACTGCGTGGGAGAGACCTAAGACGATGCAGGGCCACCCTCTCCACGCCGGCCCCGCCCTCGGCCTGCACGTGCTGCACCTCTAGCTGGGCTGAGCTGTGGTGGTGATGGGGAGCGCGGCGTCGCACTGCGCCCCTTGCCAGGGGGGCCCTGTTCCAAGACTGACTTTGAACCCAGACAGCCACGGCCACACCCCCGAGCCCCGGCTGTCTCAGGCCCCGACCCGCCCCATACCCCGCCCCCTTACCAGGCTGCGCGTGTCAATTTCAGGCTCCTATCCCTCCAGCCCTGCCCTGCGCTGCGCCTGGTGGCTTTCTCCTGCCTGCTCCCGGCTGAATCAGGCACTGCCCGAGGACCATCACCCGCAACCCCAGGGGCTCGGTCTCTCTATACCCCTCCCCATGCTCCTCGGGGCTCCTGTGCCCCTCCCCGTCACATGTCAAGCCACTTAGGTTCCATCTCGCCCCTTCTCTCGGGCCACGCTTGTCAGCTCCCTGGCCCTTCTCCTCTCCATGTCAGGCCGGTCCTCGCCCAATCTCTAATTAACAGAGACTACATGGAGCCCTCCTCCCTGTCACCGTCCCTAGACCCCCGCGGCCCCCTCCCTAAGGTCGAAAATCTGAGACAGAAAAAAAAAAAAAAAGAAAGAAAATCTGACACAGCAGAGCCCTCTCCAGGCCTGCCTGAGTCACCGCCCCACCTCCCGCACCAGGTGGTCTCTGCTCCGGTCTGTCAAGGGCCGTCTCTGTCCCCAGATTCACACCCTTCTCTGAAGTTACTGCTGTTGTTAAGAGCTTGGGCTCCACAGCCAGACATTTTAGGTCCAAATCCAGCCACTTCCTCTTACTGGCTGTGTGACTGTGGGCAAGTGACTTAACCTCTCTTGTGCCTCGGTTACCCCTCTGTAAAATAGAGAGAAAAAATGGTACCTACCCCAAAAGGGCAGCTCTGGGGAATAAATGAGTTTGGCCATGGAAAGTACTTAGGACAGGACAGGCGTGGTGACTCACACCTGTAATCCCAGGCTTGGCAAGCCAAGACGGGCGGATCGCTTGAGATCAGGCCTTCCAGACCAGCCTGGCCCACATAGTGAAACCTCATCTCTATTAAAAACACAAAAATTAGCCGGGCGTGGTGGCCCGAACCTGAAATCCCAGCTACTCGAAGGCTGACACGGGAGAACTGCTTGAATCCAGGAGGTGGAGGTTGCAGTGAGCCGAGATAGTACCACTGCACTCCAGCCTGGGCAACAGAGCGAGACTCCGTCTCAAATAATGATAATAATAATAATATAATAGGCCGGGCACGGTGGCTCAAGCCTGTAATTCCAGCACTTTGGGAGGCCGAGGTGGGCAGATCACCTGAGGTCAGGAGTTCAAGACCAGCCTAGCCAACATGGTGAAACCCAGTCTCTACTAAAAATACAAAAATTAACTGTGCGCAGTGGTAGGTGCCTGTAATCTCCACTACTTGGGAGGCTGAGGCAGGAGAATCGCTTGAACCCAGGAGGTGTAGGTTGCAGTGAGCTGAGATCGTGCCACTGCACTCCGTCCTGGGCAACAAAGTAAGACCTTGTCGCAAAATAAATAAATAAATAAAAGGGCCAAAGGTCCTCTTCATGCCTCAATTTTAACTTAATTTGCTTTTCCCAAGGAGAGAAGGTAGAATTTCATTTCTCACAAAGAACTGAAGTTCAGTCCACGCCATTTCTCTGACCCCTGTCAATACTCCGGCAACTCTCTCCCAAACCCCACCTCCGAACACGCCCCAACCGCATGTCTCTCCTACCCTAGACGGGCCTGGCTTTCCTCTGGGGTGAGTTGGTCGAATTCCTTGGCCACTTCCCGTCCCAGGAAAGCCTCATGGTCGTACTGGAAGTTCCCGTGGGAGTCATCATGGGGGGCGTCGCTCAGGGGGGCCGCCTGGTGCACCCTCCCCTGGCCATGAGGGCCTGCGTCTGGGGACGGTTTCCCCTGGGCCCCGTGCCTCAGTAGCAACAGCAGCAGCAGAAGCGATGCTAGCCACATCATCGGTCCCTGGGGAGTGGCAAAGGCCAGGGGTCAGGGGTTACAGGTATGAGGACAGAGACGGGACAGGAGAATGGCGAGGTGGAGGGGTTACCTAGGACAGGACAGGGAGATGGAAGTTGGCTACAAACTTTGGGGCTCAAAAAGGGCGGGCGATGGGGGAAAAGAGGGCGTGATGCTTAGAGGTAAAGCCACCCATGGGGGGACCGACTCTTCTGACGGAGTCTCAGGGGGTCCCAGACCTGCGAGGGGGAATTTCAGGGAGAGAAGTGGCGCACATCCCACGCAAAGTACAGGGCATAGTTGTGGCCAGCCAGAGGTCAGGGAGGCTCCCCGTCATTGCTCCCAGTCCGGACCCTGATCCTCGACCCGAGCCGCCCCAAGCCGCCCTGCCTGGACTGAGGACCCTACCCACTCCCTTTACCCAGTCATCCAGCTTCGCTCCGCTCTCCACGCTCGGCTCTGCGTTCCCGCAAAAGTGCCCAATTCGGCCGCTCTCCAGTCAGGCCCCGCCTCTGGCTGCGCAGAGCCCCGCCCCCCGCCCAATGAGCTCGCACGAGCGACTCACGGGGCGGGGCCAACGAGTGCCGGGAAGG